GGTCAATGGGAAGATAAGTGATGTTTCCTTCCCACACAGCCCTTCTTTGAACAGCAGTGTTCCTGATGTCTTTGGAGCAATTCAAATCGTCAATAGAGGAAAATGCATACATTTGATTTGAAGATGTATATATGGGGACACACACACACACACACAGACAGACACACACATCTATTCTGTTTGGAGACTTTCATTTTTGTATTCCTATAAATGAATTATGTGTTTTCTTATAGACAGTTCTTTATCTAAAGCAACTAATCACAAGCAAGTGTAAAATTTTGATTTTACACAGGAGGTCAAATTGTTTCACATACGACAATCATCTCTTAAGTTCTGAGTTTTATATAAATATGGGCTAGATACAGAGAAAGTTCTTATTGCTTGCATGTTTCCACAGAGACACAGAAGAACCAGGACAAGCTTTCTCACACCCCACAAGATGACAATATTTTTTTCCCCACTGTGCAAAAGAAGCAAAAGATTTGAAGAAGCAACACTTCAAATATTGTTTTCTGGGTACTTTCCAAGGAGTCCTTGAAATTCTCCCGCCCTTACAATGTAGCCAAATCAAAACACTAAGATACAAGAGTAAGATTTTTAATGTTTCACCTGATAATGAAAGAGCAAAAATACAACTTCCTCGGAAAGCAAAACCACAGCAGCATCAGACCATATAGAAAATACAGGTGGGGTTTCACTCTTTCTGAAGTGCCACAGTATTGGCTGTGTACAGTAAAATGGAAGAATTTATAAGAACGGCTGCCGAAAGGGTTAGGTGGTGTCTGCAGTTTGCATTCTGCACAGAGGCATGCTGCACTGAAGATATGGCAAGAGACTGCAACAATACAAACAAAAGGAAATGAATCACAAGGGGAGCTCTGACTCCTTATTGGCATTCTCACAGTACAAAGCAAAGCCACATGGCAAAAGATGCAACATCTATGGATGTCAGAATGTCCTTGGCATGAACACTGCTCCTCACCACCTCCCTTCTTATGTTATTTTTCAGAGGTCCCTTTTTCTCTTTCCTTCAAATGGGAGGAGCTCACATTGCAGTACCCGGGCAGTAAGGCAAAACATACATTCAAACATGGGGACAAGTTATGAAACAAATACTTGGGAGAGACATAAAACATCAGCCTTCTTCTTCATCGCTGTCTTTCATGGTGATGCCTTGCAGTCCACTACCATTGGATACAGAAACGGTGGCTTCTTCTACTGTGAGACGGCTATGGACTGTGTTGTACGTTTTACTGTTTAGGGTTCCTTCCAGCACACCCTGTAACCGAAAGTCTCGATAGGTTTTCTGTAGCAAAAGAAACAAAAACAAAACTCAAGATTAAGAACAACTGATATATAAGATTTAGCCTATTGACTAAGATTGCATTTCATAAAGGTATGTTGGGAATGGTTCTACCGGCAGAAGAAAAAAAATGAAAGGCATGAGTTCATTGATAAAAAATGTCACACGATAGGCTGCGTCTGTTAATAAAGTGTTACATGCAGCAAAAAAAAGGCATATGGAAGTGCTGAGATAGTAGGTTTTTTTTAAAGGAAAGTTTTAAACTGTGCATTGTTTCAATAAGTGCTTTAAAAAGGTTTTACTTTTCTTATTACAGCTTTTGAGTCCTGGATAGTTCCCCCTTCGTTAGATACTTGCTGGGCTGCTTATTTTGTATGCAGGATATTTTTTCCTGATCACCTCAACTGGATTAATGTAGTTTTGTAAAGTTTCTGTGACATCACAAGCCACCTCAGGACAAAAGAGGGATGGCAAGTTGACCCACAGCTCCTGCCTGCAGCACAAATTCTTAGACATTTCAAGTCCAGCACAAATTCCCCACCACAGTCCTGAACTGAAACATGAGTTCAGTTTGATGAACCCAGTATTAATTCTTCAGCTGATCACAGGCTGATAGTTAAGCTGTTTCCCACCATTTCTGTAAAAAATATGTACACATCAAATCAAATTGAATAAAAGTTTAGTATAAAATAATGCAAGACTTTCTTACCAATTTTAAATTCCCTTGCACACCTCTATTCCCATATAAGCGCAGACAGAAATTACAGGTGGAAGTGTTTTGCCATTCATCTTATGTTGAAACTGGGATCTGCTCACTATCAGCCTCTATTCATGCTATGTTCCATTATCACTGATTGTGTAGCTCAATATATTTTGATGATCTTTTAACTATACAGTTACATAATTCATTAAGTGGCTTCAGAGGTCAGTTTCTGTGCTGCAGTATTTTAACTTAGGGGGTCAAGGCTGGTTCCACAAAAGACTTCTTGTTAGTTGGCTAAGAATAATGGGAGACTTGGAAAAAAAATGGCACTATGCACTAAGCTTAAATTACAGATCAGTGACGTGTGGTGAGGCTTACCGTTGGTGAGGCAAGAGTGCAGCAGCGATGAGAAGCAACGTCCCGCCGCTGGGTCCGACAGGCGTCTCGCATTTATGGTGGACATAAACGCGAGATGCCTGTTGGACACAGCGGCGGGGGTGTTACTTCTTGCCGCTGCCGCGCTCTGCCGCCTCGCCCACCCCGCCTCCTCCGACAAACAATCCTGCTGCCCCGGCCTGCAGCCAGCCCAGCACCGAGCGGGGAGGAGGAGGAGGAGGAGGAGGAGAAGAGTGGTGAGTCCTTGTGCCGGCCGCCGGCCAGGCGGGGAGCAGGTCGGGCGGGGGGTGGGCTGGCTGGCTGGCTGGCTGGCTGGGGAGGGGGGATCATGGCCGCTCAGGTGGCCCCCGCCGCTATCAACAGTAGCTTGAGTGTCCCGTCTCTGTCCAAACTGCTTCTCGCCACCATCGCGCTCCACCGCCTTGCTCCCCCCGCCTCCTCTGACGAACAATCCTCCGCTTTCTTCAGCTCGGACAATGCCGGGACACCCAAGCTGCTGTCGGCAGCGGCGGGGGCCATCTGAGTGGCCATGATCCCCCTCCCCAGCCAGCCAGCCAGCCAGCCCACCCACTCACCCCGCCCGATCTGCTCCCCGCCTGGCTGGCCAGCTGGCACAAGGACTCACCGCTCTTCTCCTCCTCCTCCTGCTCCTGCTCCTCCTCCCCGCTCAGTGCTGGGCTGGCTGCAGGCCGGGGCAGCGGAAATGTCAGCGCCTGGCGGCTCCCGCAATGCAAAGTGCCTGGCGGGGCACTTTGCATCACAGGAGCCGCCAAGACCCAGGTCTGCAGCAAAGGCGCCAAGCCGCCCAATAGAAAATGCCAGGCAGAGAAGAAATTGCTGCTGAAGAAACGGCGGCTGGCGGCCCAGAGCAACCTCTCCAGAATCACCCTCGATGGAAACTGCTAGATTGCGCAGTCGCTCAAGTGCCCTTGCACAGGCATGATTCGCTGCTCCCAGATCAGGAGGCGGGAGAATCAGTGCCTCCTTTGCATACAATTTTTTTTTTGCTTTTTAACCCTTTCTTAACTTTTAAAAGGT